CCTGAGCCTCTGGCCTGTACCCAGTTCTGTATGCATAAATAAATAAATATTTATAAAAAAGAAGGAAATCCTGACACATGCTACAATAGGGATGACCCTCGAAGCTATTAGGTTAAATAAGTCAGTCACAAAAGGACAACTATTATATGATTCTGCTAATACCAGATACCTAGAGTAGTCAAATTCATAGAGTTAGAAAACAGATGGCCAGTGGGAAGTGTGCACTGGATTGTGGTGATGACACACGGGCAAATTGGTGATGGGAAGCCGATGGGAATTACAACTGATATGAAAAAAATGCATGAAATGAAGAACAATGTAAAAAAATAAAAAATATAATTAAAAAAATGAAAAAGAAAACAGATGGCTGTTGCTAGGGCCTGGTGGGCTGGGGAGTGCGGGATTAGTATTTAACTGAAACAGTTTCAGTAGGAGTAGATGAAAAAATTCTGGGAATGGAGAGTGGAGATGGATGCAGAACAGTTTGAATGTACTTAATGCCACAGAACTATACACTTGAAAATGGTTTAAATGGCAAATTTTATCATTTATATTTGATCCCAATTATTGAAAAACAATTCTTTTACTGAGACCCTGAGAGCACCATAAACTAAAAAAGCTTGGGAACCAAATGTGCCAGTGTCCACAGAGTACCTCCATGATTCCTGGTTCTTATTATTTACACAAATAAAAATGTACCTCTTATTCCCAATCAGCATGATAACCATGTTGGAGCTCGAGTGTTGCCGGGCATCCTCTAACCAGGAGGTCAGGTGGTTGAAAGTTTCACGTCTAAGCACAAAAGTTTAGAGAGCAGGTCAGGGGCCCCATTTCAAAATGCTAAAGCAAGTCCAAATGCACGATACAGGGATAAATGACATGTATAAAGAAAAATTCTGAAAAGGCCACTTTTATTTAGCATTCTTACCAGAATCAGTACGTAGAAAACAAAAAGATTTCAAGAACATAGGAAAAGCCTCCCTCCCACAACCACATCCGACTCACCTGGTAATGTCATACACCAGCAGGGCCCCAGCAGCGCCCCTGTAGTAGGAACGGGTGATAGAACGGAAGGATTCTTGCCCAGCCTTTCCCACCAACATAGCAACAAAAAATCCCAACAAAACCAGGTTATTTCCAGAGAACCGACTTGATCACATACCACTCTAAAACAAAGGCCTTAATTTCAGACAAAAATTTCTATTGAAAAAAGAAAAGTAGGTAAGGAGACTTGACCACCAGGAAGAAACCCAAGTGGAAAACCATTATTTTTTGGTGGGAGTGTAAGGGATAATTAGGGTCGGTCAAGTCTTCCAGTGAGATAGTCCCTCAAATTACTAAGTGTTTAATTTAACATCACTGACTCCAGTCCTGGAGCACCCCACCATACAAGTAGCACGTCACCATGCCAGTGAGAATCAAACATTCCCATATATTCTCCCAACATCCTCTAGAGATAATCATTGGAAATATGACTGGAAATTCTAAATTTCTCTCCCAAACATATCACAGTCACTATTCTTTTCTGTTCCTTTTCCTTTATCTAGAAAAGGGAAATTACCTTAGATGCTAGCACCCTATCTCATGGAAGCTTTATTTCAATGGAGCAATGTAGAAAATTAGTCAGATACTGATCGTCAGTGTTCTACTGACAGTGGCAGGACTACCAACAAGCCCCTTCCTGGAGTCTTATGATGGCAAATAAAACTAAGGAACAGGGCCCTCCCTGGTGGCGCAGCAGGATAAAGCACAGCAGTAAGAAGCTAAAGCCACTTCCGCATAAGTTCGATTCCCACCTGCCCCGGAGGTGACCACATGGTGCGACAGACCTCTCCTGATCCACCCGCTGCTCCTCTCAGCAGTGTACTTTGTTGATCTGCCTGTTCTGTTTCCCCTCTCTGTCTCTGGTGAATCCTCTTGCTGCCCCTGCACCTCTGGCCTGTACCCCAGTTCTGTATGCATAAGTAAATAAATCTTTAAAAAAAAAAAAAAAAACCTAAGGAACAGCAAAAATAGTTTGGGTCAAGGACGGTATTTTCCTTTATAAATCCAACTGTTCTCACTCTAATCTCATTTCCAATTGGAGCTAAGATATTAAATTGTAGTTATAACTACATTGGTTATTAATGTCCCCACACACTGGGTATGTTTGCTTTCATTTTTGGCTTGTTTTTGTTTTTCCTTCAGGAAGCAAACATTTCATTTAACAAACATGAATATTCTAAGCATTGGCTCTATCCCTATTAGGGAACTTTCCACATTTTTTTAAATTCTCTATCCCGGTATCTATGAATAAATGTCGAAAAGGAAGATCACTGTTAACATTTTCAGGTGGGAAAATTAAGACATAGACATGGCCTATACCCAGCTCTTCTACACAAAAATAACAACAACAAAAAACTCCTTCATGTATATCCCTGAACATTTTCATGTAGGATGGCTCTGGGGATGAGTGAGGGTCAACAAAGTAGAAAGCTACAGTGAGTAAACAAAGAGATGGGGATCAGAACTCATGAGAGGGATGATCAGCTTTACCCAGAGAGTAGTAGACAAGATAGACACTACATTATAGACAGGAATTTCAAAATATATAAAAATCCCAGTATCCTGAGATCTATATGGTTCAACAAAGATTAGTCTGAACTCAAAATAATTTTTAAAAGAGAGCAGAAAGGAACTAAGCTGGATGTTGTCAATAGAGCAGTAGCTCTTAACTTTGTTAGTTCATGATCCATCCATGACTCATTACCATCTAAGGTAAAAAAGCAGGCCAACACTTAGATATTCTTATAACAATGACCATACCACTGATGGACAGCTATTAGGTTTCCTGCTATCAAAACATCCATTTTTGGAAACAGTGGAGGTGTAAGTTAAAGAGGCAGAATCTATAATAATATTAATCTTGACACCTACATAGCGCTTTATTCTGTATCACCTTTCAGGATGTGTCCTGTGGCTTTGAGGGGGTCAAATCTCCCTTGTGAGAAATAAAAAAAACAGGGAATAATAAAAGGAGATGTGGTGTCACTCATATGTGGAATCTAGGGAAACCAAGCAAAAGATCAAGAAAAAGTCAAAACTAGCAAGCCCACAGAACTGAGACGTACAGCAAAGGAATGGACAAGAGGGAGAACAAAACAGAGGAGGGCAAAACACAAGGGAATGTCCTGATGGCTTATGGGTGGTAAGGTGGCAGGAGAACTATGGGGATTACAATGAGGAGGAAAAGGTTAATTAATAAAAACAAAATAAATAAAAAGAGCGCTGTAATACCTACTTGGGTTGACAGTGACAAAGAACCATAGGCCCCAACAATAAAATAAGGGATTAAGTGAGAGTCCTTTAAGAAATATATTCTTTTTTTTTTTTTTTTAAGATTTATTTATTTATGCATACAGAGCTGGGTTACTAGCCAGGGGTGCAGGAGCAATGAGAGGATTCACCAGAGACAGAATGGGGAGCAGAACAGGCTGACTGATGAAGTACACTGCTGAGGGGAGTAGTGGGTGGGTCAGGAGAGGTCTGCCACACCATATGGGTCACCTCCAGGGCAGGTGGGGATCGAACTCATGCTGAAGTGGCTTTAGCTTCTTAGTGCTGTGCTTTAACCCACTGCGTCACCATGGAGGGCCCCAAGAAATATATTCTTAACTTTGGCAGTAGGCATCGAATAATACCTTTTAGGCTTTATAGAGAGAAGCTGATCAAATGAAGCAAGTTTGAAGTTTTAGATGAGAAGTGATGTGAAAGTGATTTACGTTCACATTGTAATATGGTGACATGCAATATCTGATCAGAAGGGCAAATGGTTATTCAAGTGCTTGGAAATACAACCAACAAATAATATACACGAGAATACTGTGCTTATAAAGAGCATCTGATCAATTAGTGCATCTAAAAGTGGCAATCACCATGGGGTTTCACCAGAAAAGGACTTGATGTAAAAAGGCCCTAGAGCAGCAAGTAACTACTTTCAAAATAGACACTTACATGTGTTTGGGGAGGAAGGGAAAAGGAGAAAAAGGAAAAAAATCATGTGTAAACCACTTTTAGATATACGAGTTTCACTTCTCCATTCTGAGAATAAACAGAATCTAATAAGAAGCAAAAACAGAAGATTTTAGGTGAATATTAGCAATAAGTTGCTAGCTCCCTTTAACTCAGAATAAAGGCTAGAATAATGTATTCCTTAGAGAAAAGAAAAGAAAAATGAAGTGAGATACTGTGTATGAGGGCAATTTACCAGGATGAAACAAAATTGCACTGTCAGATTAAATTTCCATTTCTGGACAGTTATTCGACAGAAATTCACAAGCATTGACCTAAAGATGTATTAAATAAAAATATTCAATGAAATGTTACCATGGTAAAAAACTCTAAACTACATTTCCCTAAAGGAGAATAAGTAAATAAATATTGTATAAACAGTCTATGGTCCTGTCTAGTGGTTAAAGAGATGATACATGTAAGTCTCCAAAACAAACCCTTAAATAAAAAGTCCAAGCCACAGAAGAACAATGTAAAATATATATGAGCTAAATTTAAATTATTAAATAAAAACCCAAGTCACACTGCTCGGTCTACTATGACACAATTCTATACTGTAAAAAAAAAAAACAAAACCACTATAATATATATTTGTAAATGTTTACATTTATGTATCTAAACGCAGAGAAAATGTCTGCAAGTATTAATATTGTTTTATTATGGTAAAGCAGAAACTAAGACTGGAGAAAGGAGATATTTATATGTACACAAGCGCCACTTACTTTTTACTTTATACACTTTGATTTTCTGCTTGTATTTTCATTAGAACAAACTCATATTACCTTGAGAATTTAAATTAAAAACTAAAAGAATTTGTAACTGAGGCAAATGCAAGTGAAAGCTTCCCTGTAGCTTTAATTGTATTCCTTCCCTACTCTCATCAACATTAGTCCAATCCTCAATTCTTGTTTCCCTGAATTAGCCTTAACTATTATATTTGCATCATGATCAGGGACTAAATTATTTTTTCCTCTCTCACCGTATCCCAGATTTGCAGTTTGATTTGTTTTCCATCAATGTTGACCATGCGAGCCCCAAACTCCACACCTGTCAGTGAAGACCGAGAGAGAAAGAACATGATACTCATGAACAATAGCTATGTTGAATGAGAAGTTCTTACTTTTCCTTAGGCTACTAATTTGACTCATTCTTTGTCTTCTCTCAGTGCTACTAAGTTCTTTGCTGCTGCCTACTAGCTCTACTTAACTGTATATTCTTAGAATTTCATTTTCCTTCTAGAATTAACAACTGTGTCCTAGGTGATAATGACTTCAGGAATGTAACCAAAAGGCAAATATGAGGATAAAACTAATTAAGAGTCAAACAGAAAAGGTGAATACATTTTTAGCAATGTTAGTTAATGCACAAATTTGATTAGATAGCATTCAATTTTGTTAGTTTTTAAATACATCTAAAATTTTTGAAACTATTTCTTAACAATTTTCTTAGTCCATAGTCAATATGGACAATATTCCTTTCTTTTACAAGTCTAGAGCTCTTGTTTGAGAAAAGAACCTACCTAAGAAACAGATTCTCAAGAATGATACACTTCAGATCTCCAATAATGCCCAGAACTCGCTGGGAAATAGCCTCCCTCATAGAAGTATGGAAGCCAGTACTTTTAACAAAGGTTTTAGTTTACTTGGTATTCATCTTCGTTCAAGGCAATGTCAGACCAAAACTTAAAAATTGAAGATCATTTACATTAAAAATATTTTATTGTAAATCAGACAATTTGGCCTATTTCCCATTTTTATAATATTTTATTCATACTATGGGGAATTCTGATTTACAAATAAGAAAGAGCACTAACCTAGCTTCCACTAAAGAGGTGATCTGCGCCCATAAAGTGGGCCCAAGCACAACATGTTTGGAATATCCCTCTCAACACTACAGCACTGCAATGAATAAGAAAAATATAAAATTATTTCTTACAACTCTAGACTGCCTCATCAAAAATAGTGATAGCCACTGAAAAAAGTCACTAATTTATTCTTCTTTCTGGACAACAGGAATGGAATTCCAGCGGGGAAGAATTTTAAAAAACTTCATCTCTTTTTATGCAACTTCATCTAGTTATCATTCAAAACTTTTATTTTGCACACATTTTCTACCTACCTGAAACTGTTTATCTTGGTACAGAAAACTGAAGTAAGAAAAAAGACAGCCTATATTAGACTCTGGTGAAAACAATCGTTTCATTCCTCATCTTTAAAGGCTTGGCATTTGCTCCCTTTACCTTCAGGTATTTTAAAACTTGGTATCTAACTTATTCTCTAGCTTCACTTCTCGCTGCTATTCACTTCAAACTCCTTGCTCCAGTCACGTTAAGTTGCTTTCTAAAGGTGGCCTGACTCCTACCATTGCTGAGCCTATGCTTTTGTTATTCCCTCTTGCCCTTTTCCCTCATTTCTAGAACCACTTTGTCTGTGGTTTTTGACAGCTACTGAAAAAAGCCACTACTATTTTTTTTCTTTCTGGACAACAGGAATGGAATTCCAATGAGAAAGAATTAAAAAAACAAAACAAAAAACAAAAAACCTTATCTCTGTTTATGCAATTTCATCTAGTTATCATTCAAAACCTACTCATTCTTCAATTTTCAGCATTTTCTGATAAAGATAGCAGCCTCAGCTCTCCTTCTGCAATAGGAATTTACTTCCAGGGTCCACACATAGTCCTAAGTATCTGTCCCTACCTTAGAAGACAGTAAGCTACTTAGGACAAGCACAATATATACTTGTTAAGCACTATATATTTTTTTACCTCTATTACAGTCTGGTATTCACTTAATATTCATTTACCAATAACATTTCCTGTTAATGTTGTCCTTTTACTCATGTCTAATCCCACTAAAAATCTGGCCCTGAGAAAGTACTTTGGGAGAAGTAATACTCTCAATTTTCAATAAAATGGGACTTGAAAGTGGTCATATGTTAAAGAATAGGAGCTAGGGATTTTATTCAGAAACTATCTGCAAGGAAAGATTAGTTTTTTTACATACTCATTATTTGGGCTGGGGTGATACTGATTATAGAGAAGAGGCCAGCATGACATTCTTTATGACAAATGTGTGGGACATGTTTATACATTCCAGGATAACCACTGTGTTTTTGGAACTAATACTCTTTTCATTAAAAGGAAAGTATTCTTTTCATTCGAAAGCGGGAATGACTCTTCAGTTTGCTTCCTCTCCAACACACACAAAAATTCATTTATGTGTGTGATGGCTTTGAAAACACATATGAGGTTAGCATTAAGTCACCGCAAAGTTCAGCGAGTTTTTGAAAAATTACTTATGCTGTCATGAGGGTTTTCATAAACATAGAAATGTCATTTGGAGTTTAAAAAATTAATTCACGGCGACTAATATATAGACCATGCTCATCTCTTAAATTACCTTTCAGTTATCAACTCCCGTTATATTTCTCTCCATGTATAGCATTTGACTAGTCATACTTCACTTAATATACTTTCGGACTAGATTAAAAGGAGGGAGAAGTAACTTTTTACTTCGCACTGAAGGATTCTAAATTTCCATTATAACTAATCGGGTTTTATTATCTATTCAGTAAGAAGCAAATGCACTTACCGATTGTGAGGTCGTGGACAGGCTGGAACCGCTTGTCTGTAAACTGCAGAAGGAGACATGACTTCCCCACACCTGAAAGAGGGTAAGATTCTAGGAATCACACCGCCTAGGAACAGCCTCCAGTACTGGCGTCGGGATTAGGGAAAGGGAACCCCGAGCCCCGCCCCCGGCCGCCCCGCCCCCGATCGTTCTTCACAAAATCGCCCAGCCCACAAACAGAGCCCCGCCCCCACGGCCCGATTTGGGAACTTCGGTTCTCTGCTCCAGCAATGATGGCAATCGCGGCGGGTTACCTGTGTCCCCGATGATGATGTACTTGAAGAGATAAGCATAAGTCATGGTCCCGTTTCCTCTGGACTCCGAGTCCGCCCGACTTCACTTACCTCCCGCCCCTCTAGCCACTCAAACTACCGATCTCCGTCCCCTCTAGCCCAGTTCAAGTCTCTATTGCTTTCCCAAGAAATCCTCTCTTGATCCGAGCCACAGTAATATGCTGACACCGCCTTCCGGGACGCCTCTAACAAATGTCCATGCCATTATACCACCAAACTCCAGGGGGCGATAACTAGCTTTTCCGTCCGTTCGCCCTTCGCGTTCTGACTCGCAACAGCCCAAACAACTCTTTCCAATCAGCGGAAAGCGACGCGGTCCTTGCGGAAGTGACGGTAGTTCCGAGTCCTTCTGGGGCTGTGGGAGAGATGAGGAGGCTGAGGCTGGGGTAGCCGTTGTGCGAAGATGGAGGTACGAACCTGAGAGCTTAGAGGGCTGGCGAGAGAACGCGGCGGACGTTGTTGAAGCGGAGACGGGAGACCGGGAGGAGAGGCGGCTAACCGGGGGGGTTGAAGGGAGGGCGGTGCTGGGTTCTGAAAACATTTTGTCAGAATGTTGGTGGTCAGAAGCGGTCGCTCTAACTCCCTACTCCCCCCGAAACTTATTCCACGGCTTTCTTTTGGTTTCCAGTTTCCCGGAGGAAATGACAATTACCTGACGATCACGGGACCCTCTCACCCCTTCCTGTCAGGGGCCGAGGTGAGCTGGAGCTGCCCACGCAGTGTGGGAAGAGCGTGAAGCTGCAGTGGGTCGGGTGGTGGGGACGTGAGCTCGCACGCCGGGGACCGGGCACTAGGGTCGCTGTGGTGTTTACCGGAAAGTGACTGCCACTTCTGGAGCCCTTGAGGACTATAAGGAAGGCGCAGGAAGTTACTGTCAGTAGAAAAGCAGGATATTGGAGCTAATCTGTTCAAGGGTACTGTATCGAAAGAGTGAAATTGTCTCCTTTACTTGCGTGGAAATAATGCAACAATCGGAGTATCGCAGCCGAAAGGAAATGTTTTAGCCAAAAAGTTGGGGTGAGAGGAGGACTCTACTGGGATTTGACTGGGTTATTGAAGCGGTTGTTTCATTTAAATTTCCTACAGCGATTAAGAAAGGTTTGTACTTAGTTTACATACCTGGTATTAACTTGTTTTGCTGTTGAAAGGCAATAAATGCCAGAGAACTTGAAGGGAGTAGAACAGAACACGTGTTTCTCTTTACCAGTGACTCAGAGTATGGGCAGGTTACCTCACATTTGTATGTCACAGTTTTCCCAGCTGTTAAATGGCTTAAAAATAGTTTATGATGATGTGGAGGAGAAGTAATGGCTATGGTGGAGTCCTTTAGTATTCACGGGGAAATTTTTGGTTGAAATGTCATACACTAGGTATCACTTGATTTTTGGTCAAGAGAACTTTATTTTTTGGTATCCTCATGAATGGTGTGGATCAAGTGAGCAGCAGATTTAGAAGTGACTTTGCTTTGCAGTTTCATTGACTGCTTTTCCTAAGCGATATACCCATGGTTTAATTTCATAGTTTGGAGTGTTGTAAATCTCAGGTTAGCCTTTATCTACATGAAATTTACCAATTTCTTCTGAATTAGTCTCCACAGTTTAAGTTTATTTAGAATGCTATAAATTTTATACAGGCCTCAGGCACGTGCAAGTGCATTTCAAATTTAGATACAAATAGCCTTTAAATTTATCCCCTATTCTTAACATTCTACTCCTTTTATGAACTTGAACAATCGAGAAGCAGTAACTACGTAAGAAGTTACTCCTTTTATTTTAAGAAACTATCCAGGTTTCAGCCTCTCCTTTCTTTTCATGACTTTAAGATATGTTTAAAAAAATGTTTTGACATGAAGCTCATTATAACTAAATTTTAGGCTCAATTTCAAAATCTTCCTTTAGTCTAAGGTTCTGTCATCATTGACAGTTTTTTTCCTCATTACTACTTAATTTTTCCTTCCCCTCTAGTTTTGTTTGGTTTTCAAATCTTTATTTTTTTTTTAAAGATTTATTTATTTATGCATACAGAACTGGGGTACAGGCCAGTGGCTCAGGGTCCGCGAGAGGCTTCACCAGAGACAGAGTGGGGAGCAGAACAGGCAGATCTACGAAGTACACTGCTGAGGGGATCAGCGGGCGGGTCAGGAGAGGTCTGCCGCGCCATGTGGTCTCCTCCGGGGCAGGCGGGAATCGAACTCATGTGGAAG